CTTTAAAGCTGTAGAAAACCAACTGTGGGTCACTGACCTTAAAAAATATAGAACAGATGGCTAAAATCAAGTCCACAAGAAAAATTAGCACAGCAGGAACTTCAAAATTAAAGGCATTTTTATAAGCATAACAGATTTTTTTGGAGCTTTATTAGTTCATAGATAAGTGATTCTCATATGAATGTTCTGTAGTGATCTAACAAGAAAAAAACAGCAGGTTTGTGTGGGATGCAGGAAAATTGGACCTGCAGTGAAGGACCTTCTCACATTAAAAATGGATATGAGAGGTGCACGCCCACATGGTGTATTACTGCACACCAGGATCCATTTTTAATTGCTAATATACTTCTCAAAACCATATAAGAACTTTCTTCTCAAACGAAGAGAGCCGTAATTTGAGCTCTTGATGATAAATGTTGTTCTTGGCCTAAACTGAAATTTTCAAGGGTAACAAATTGCTGCTCACACAATTGCTTCCTAATGCAGCATCAGAAAAGTAGTAAAATTAAAAATTAAAGAAAAATGATTAATTTTGAAATTAGTTCCTAAATGGATTTTTCATTAGACATTTATATTTCAAATACTGCTTTGCTAGTGCTACATGAGAAGACAGTATTCATGGCTTTGGTATTCTTTGATCGTAATTATGATTAGGCTTGGTAGAATTCAATTTTTAATCTTTTCGATTTTTGATAGATATCAATGTTTATTTTTCAGCAAAGTTTTTAGGTATTATATCCATTTAAATTTTCACAGTTGAGCAAAATGATGTGTAATAAAGATAAAATACTTAATTTTTTAAAATTATTGAAACCATGGGAAATTATGGGAGGGTCAAAGAAAAGGGGGTTCAGGAAATAATGAACTAATAAGAGCAGGAGACATTCAGATTCAAAAAGTTAAACCTTATATCCACAAAAACACAAATTTTCAACATCAAATGTCAACATTTACAAAGTAAATATTATTAAATCAAAGTCTAATAACATCTCATGGAACATTTCTTCTACTTTGCCTATCTGTACATTTTTCTTACTATCTAGGTATGCGAGTGTATGGTTAATTTCTTATTTACCAATAAAAGTCTAATCTAATAAGTGCAGTACTTAGGATTTTTTTTAAAATATGGAATTTATAGACCAATGTGTCAGAAGACAAGAAAGTGACATAGTGACAAAGTGTTTATGTAGCAGATACACATATTATACAAAAACATGTTGCTGACATTGAAAATTTGATATGTAGCTCAACATACCTACATATTGTGAAATTTTTGTTTTGTTTTTGTACTTTACTTTCTTGAAGGAACACTTCATTACAAAAATTTTAAAAATACATTTTTTTTGCCTCAGTTGCCATGACAACATTGTAGATGATTAAAATGAAAAATGTACATCATGCTTTACATTAACTATCACCATTAGCTTATTTTTTGCATGGTCGTGGTTTTGGAGTATGGGGAAGGGCCAAGTCACTTTCACTTTGTTACCTTTTTAGTTTCAAATAATTTGGGAGTTTTGACAGTTTGTTCTGTCATTTTTCTCATGAACTAGTGATCAGGCTAATCCTTCCAATCTTCTGAACACATTGAAATCAGTGGGTGAAATTCTGGCTCTATTAAAACCAATGGCAAAACTTCACCCAGAATTACTGATCAGTTTTATAACACTGCAGGAAAATTTTAAGCCATTTACATCTATGTGAAATTACAATACAGGTTGGACCTCTATCATCAGGACTAATCCAAAAATACCTGTGGTCCTGCATCCCTGTGGGAGTTCTCGGGTTTAATTGTTTTCTTCACCTGCATGGGATGTTACAGCCATAATGTCCAAACAAAGCAACACCCAGAGGAAATGTGCCTTCTCAAAAGGGAAGTGTTGATGAGGCCTTGGGACAAGAGATCCAGATTCTGAAAATCTCATCACTTTTTATTTTTTGTTTAGGGGCAGAAGGGGATTCAAAAAAATCTATCAGGCTCTTTAATCGTCTGCAGGTGCCTAAGTCTTCACAAATTTTTTATATTAGAATAAAGTATAATGAGATCAAGAACAAAATATTTTAACAGCTAATTCACTCAGACATTAGTCACCCTTAGTTAAATAAAATTGATTTATATGGTGAAGAAGAAGGGGGGACAGATAAATCAGAATGCTCATTTTAAACTAAATGGATCATGAAATTCACACACTGTTTGGAGAGAGTGTTGTGAAGACCAGGATTTTAACAGGGTTCAAAAAAGAGCTCGATAAGATTATGGAGGGACAGGTCCATTAATGGCTATTAACTAGGATGGGTAGGAGTGGTGTCCCTGGCCCCTGTCAGAAGCTGAGAATAGGCAACAGGGGTAAAATCACTTGATAATTACCTGTTCTGTTCATTCCCTCTGCGGGGTACCTCGCATTGGCCGTTGTTGGAAGACAGGACACTGGGCTATATGGACTTTTGATCTTACCCAATATGGCCATCCTTATGTTCTTATGCCTTCCACTACCAATAGGGAACCTTGGGTTTCAGTAGCCAAATGAAGCTTTGCCTTCATGAAAGGGTTCCAGGAAACTGACAGTCATCACAGGGACAATACCAGAGGGCATATGTATGTGTCTGAGAAAACCTACAAGTACATGGATTCAGCCAAAGGGTTCATCTACACAGCAGAGCTTAACTCAAAATAAGCTACATCAATTGTATAGTTTATTTTGAAATTGAAATTGGGAGTGTCTACATAGCACCTACTTCAAAATAGAGCACTCTTCTTCTGACTTCCCTTCCTCGTACAATGAGGGTTACAGGAGTCAGAGTAAGAAGTTCTCCAGCTTGACAGTTTTTCAAAATAACTGCCTGCTGTCTAGATGCAGACTAAGGGTATATCTACACTAGCCCCCTATATCGAAATAGGGAGGCTAATGTAGGCATTAGAAGTTGCAAATCAAGCCCGGGATTTAAATATCCCACGCTTGATTTGCATCTTCCCGGCCAGTCGTCATTTTTTTTTTTAATTTACAAGTCCGGACTAACTGCCCACGTCTACATGCGGCAGGGACCCAGTATTTCAAATTAAAGCCCTAAATCGAACTACCTGTTAAATCTCCTTGCAGGAGGAATAACGGGTAGTTCGATTTAGGGATTTAATTCGAAATACCGGCTCCCTGCCGCGTGTAGACGTGGGTAGTTAGTCCGGACTTGTAAATTTGAAAAATGGTGACCAGTCGGGAAGATGCAAATCAAGTGCAGGATATTTATATCCCAGGCTTGATTTGCAACTTTGAAAGCCTACATTAGCCTCCCTACTTCGAAATAGGGGGCTAGTGTAGACATACCCTAAGTTATTTCAAAATAACACCAGTTATTTCAAAATAATGTTGCTGTGTACACGTCTCCAAGAGGAGACCAGAGGTGTCACTCACGGGAAATAATCCATCCTTCCATACTGTATCAGCCACAATAGACACAAAAGGGAACGTAACAATATTCTAAATCAAAGGCAGACTGCCAAGCCATGACCTGAGAAACTCGCAGTTCAAGATTCCCCAATGTTTTATATTACACACAGAGATAGAGTCAATGGTGGCACAAGATGGCTAAAAAAACCCTTCTAGCAGTTAAACCATCCCAATTTCTGATATTTGACACATTTTTCATTAATACCAGGAGCAACTAGTGCCTGGGGCATTTCTAAGCTAGGGATCACTGACAAGCTGGAAAAAGTAATGTTCAAGGCTAGTCTCGGGATTATTAACCCACCTCCATCTATTTCCCCCTGGAGAGGCCTGAGGCCTAGAATGTTCTCACTATTACAACCTGTCAAAAAGAAAAAAAGTTTCAAATTAACTGTATAAATATTTTCAGCATCCATCTTTGAAAGATTTTTCATGCTAGTGGATTTTTTCCCACCCAGGAAGGAACCAAATGTTTTACTTCCATAGCAAGATGTGAAAATACATTCCTAATTTGAATGCTAAGATTGCTGCTGATGGAATACTAAGTAGTTTATTTTATTTTGTTTCCTGAAGCATTCACAATCTTCAGTAAAATAATTTTTAAAAGGGATAGCAGAACAGCCATAAAAGGTGCAGGGGGAGGCAGTTTCCATCAGAAATGATGCACTCTTAAATATACTAAATCTGAAGTTGGATATTCCATTAAAACAGTTTAAAGTCATCGGCCTTAGAATTCTTTCATTTGCTATCCGTACAAATACATCAGTGTACAGTAGGACATATACGACTGTCATTATCTCTGAAAACTGCTTGCTGTTTATATATTTGTAGTTAAACAAGACGTGCAAATCTGTATCTCATTTAAAGATGATCTTGTTTTCTTGTGACTGTACCTACAATCTCAAGAGAATTAATTGCCAATACTACAATCAGTCAGTGTTATGTTTAAGATTTTATATGTACTGTCAGGTTTATACATAAGTTTAACATGGATCTGCTATACCAGTAAACACTTCCATTATTCCTAATACAGCTGAAACAAAATTGGTTATGCAAAGCTTGCCTTTTGCTCCTGCACCTTATTATTTGGTCACCATTTGCACTAAATATGCCTTTTGCTTCATTTTAATACTGTCTTTTGAAGGCCATTTATTAGGTAATCATTTGTCTAGGGAAAAGCCTAATTACTCTATATTTTTCAGACAGAGGAAATGATATTGTATTTGAATATTGAATGGGCTGCAAACTAAACTCCAGAATGAGGAATATGGAATTTTTCAAAGATTTTTGTTTATTACTAGTTAAAGGGAAATGGTTAAATAAACCATTTATACATTTGGGGGTCAAACTAGAAGAATAGTCTGCTGTACAGAAGATTTTTAAAAACACCAAGCAGTTTACAGTGCTTTCAACTTTAATGCTAAAGTGCACAAAATAATTTATGACTACTGCAACACTCCTTTTTCTGTATGTGGAGTAATAGTGCCCCCTACTGGTTCTTTGCAAACATTTCCTTATGTATAAACTGCCTCCACTTCTTTTTCATTTCAGGGAAAAGAATATTTTCTGCTAACATATGAAAGATTAATATTACTTTGCTTTCAAGTGTTTTCTTGGTTCAAACCCATCAGACCTGTAAACAAAGAGCTTTAGCTCAGAGATTTGTTGTTAGTTACAAATTACAGTATTCTCAGTAAGTACCATTTGTTTCTCCCATTCAAGCTACCATGGGAACTATAAGTTAATAATAAATCACACACCAATATAATTTTTGAAGGCCTTGCCAATCTTACTGTGAAAGTTATCCTGATTTTTATGAAAAATTGCATGGAAATATTTAGAAATAAGTTATGGATAGTTATAGATAGGAAAAAGTTATAGATAGAAACATTGTAAAAGTAATGCTCTCATCAAGCTTTTTATGATATCTATTCTTGAACTGAGTTTACCCAAGAGGTTAAGGCTATTGATTTGTGTGACAATTGTCTTGATTCATCTGCACATTTATATATAATACATTTTTCCTGTTGGCAGATTGCTAATGTCTTTGGTATGGATTTAGTTATATATCACACCATATAGACACACCACACACACACAATTGAATTTAATTCTAGCTGGTGAGATGTACCAAACTGACAACCGCAGACTGAGTCTTCTAGTTTTTCACAGAACAGGCGCAGTAGATTAGCAACATAAGAATTCCTACAAGTTTCTCAACACAGATCTAGACCATCCCAAGTTCTGAGAGTAGCTCATTCAAACCCTTGGCCTCTCTGCTTAGACCAGTGTTTCTTAAACTTTTTAAGACTGCGGAACACCAAACAATAATTTTTTTTATGAGGAACACCAAGGATTTTTTGTTGAAAAAAAAAAAAAGATCCAGAGGGGAAAAAGGTCAGGGGGAAAGTTATTGAGAAAAAAAGGGTTGGGGGAAAATTTATTGAGGAAAAAAAAAAGGTCACCTGCCCCTTTAAGGGTGGCCATTTTGAATTCTGTTGTTCTCCAACAGTTTAAGAAACACTGGCTTAGTCTATCAGAAAGAGGGGCCAAAGTTTTGTCCCAACTGTAATTTGTTCCATTTGTAGTTTTTCTGCATTTGCAGCAAGTCTTGATAATATGACCCAAACTAGAATGGAGGGATTACTAGCTTTGATCACAGTTTTAGTGCCTGATTCAAAGCCCTTTGAAGTCTTTCAGGTGTTTAAGGAAAATTCCATTGCACATAATTTACTATGTGTGAGTTTTTTGCACAAGCCTTTATATGTTGCATCTAACTAGGCAGAAAATGCCCTTTGAAATTAATACATTTCTTTAGATAATTCCTTTTCTGTTTAAAAACCTAATTACTCAGGGGTTATTGGACTGTGTAGATGGAGTTGCATTTAAATTTAGAGCTGAAATCCAACCCAAAATCCAAAAGAGGGAAAGAAACACTCTACAGAGAGAGATTTGTAATCTAGGAGTACCGCAATAAGATGGTGACCTGCACGCTCCAGAACAGGAGGGAGAAGCATGGTTAAGTCACAAGAGTGAAAATAAAGAACATTGGGTTCTTTTTCTAGCCCTGACAGTAACTTTTCCTGTGACCATGGACAAACCAACTTACACCCAAATTGTAGGCATGTCCATGAATTTTAGATGCCTATATTTTGGGGTGACCAAGTTGAAACCATGGCCTGACTTTTCATAGATTTTAAGCACCAGAACAAGATTAATACTGTGCTCTCAGCTCATTGGCATGTATGTAGCTTAGTTTATTAACATTTATAAAACATATTCTGGAAGCCTTCAATGGAAAGTGAAACAGAAGAGCATGCAAATATCACCAGGTCCATTATGGGAGACAAAGTCCAACAAACTGTAGGTAAAACTGTCAAAAGCACTTATGTCCCATTTTCAAAAGTAATTTAGGGCAAGATTTTGTAAAGGTATTTAAGCACCAAAAGCTGAAGATTGGCATCTAGTGGAATTTTAAAAGCATCTATGCAGGTTAGGCAGATAACTCCCATTGCTTTCTACCTATCAGATTCCTAAATACCTTTGAAAATCCAGCCCTTAGGAGCTTAAGTCTGATTGAAAGTTAATTGGATTTAGACTCCTATATCATGTAAGTGCTTCTGAACATTTTACCCTGCCCCTTTAATAAGCTTCCTAATTTCACATTCAGATGTTTCAGCTTTACTCAGGTGTTGCTTTTTTGCACCAAGTTTATATAATTCATGTGGTTTGACTTCTCTCCTCTTCTACTTCTCTTCCAGCTTGTTGTCACTTCTCCTGATTCTAGACAAACACTCTGTGGGAGGCCAGGTTTGTTATTGCTGACAGTTGTAGCATTCTACTACTGCTCTATCTCTACTTGTACCTAATCTTATAATACCATATTGTACCTAATCTTACCATATAAGAGCACAGTGGAAGACTCTGCAATGTCTCCTGTACACCATGCACATAGTTTGAAACAGCATACAGGCAAATGAGTATGTTATATTCCTGTGTTTGAGTCAGTAACTTACCAGTTTCCCTCCTCCTGTTTTCCTCTCCAGCCCCATCCCAGAGTTAGGTCAGACAATGTGTTGTTAGCTAAAACACCAAAAAGATGTTTTGGATAGAAAACCAGTCGGATCCTGACCACTTTTACCACTCCATGGCATTCCATGAAAAAAAGAGTAGTCTCTGTATGGTTTATAAGTTCCAGCCCAAATAATTATTCTCTCTTCTCAAATTCCCTTTGTAGTTTACTCTGGACACAACAGAGGTTGAGTTCTCTGTCTGAAATGTCATCACTAGACTTGTACTTCAGCTGTACTGTCCAGAATCCTAGTCTATACAGGTCTCACCACAGGACATTACCCCTCTTAGGTGAGAAGTAGGAGCTGTCAAATCAGTAAGCAGCAACTAAGGCTACATCTACACAGCTTCCCTCTTCTGCAAAAGCCTATGCAAATGAAGCGCAGATTACCATATTGCCACACTTCATTTGCATCATTAATTAGGAGCCGTTTTTGCATAAGAGGTTTTTGTGCAAAAACCCCCTCTTGTGCAAGAGCCGTTCTTCCTCATTTTCAGGAACAATGGCTCTTGTGCAAGAGGTGGGTTTTGTGCGAAAAGGCGCTGTGTAGACATACGCTAGGAGTCACTAACCCGGGAACACCTGTAGTACTGAGGAGGAAGTGGCTTTTTGCAATGCTTCTCCCCTTCTCCCTCAGCTGGGGGAACAGCAGCACAGCGATGAGCTTCCCCTGCAGCTTTTCCCCAGCTCTCCCATAGTGGTGGGGGCAAATCCTGAGAGCAGCACAGAGTGCAGAGCCATGTATACCCACGGAGTGAGGCACCACAGAAGCACCCAATTCCATCCGCTTCATGCCCGGATCCCACAGTTCCCTCCTTGGCCTGGGAAAGTCTTTAATTTAACATATCCTGTTTCCCAGGGTATGCCAAATTAAAGAGTTTCAAGTATAGGGGGGAGTTCTAAATTTTTGCCTAAATTTTTCAAAGTTTTGCATTTAAAATTTGGTCTTCAATTAATGAACATGTTACAATGAACATTAATATTTAAACTATTTGTGAACAGAGTTAGTCAAATACTAGAAAGCAAGGATTGATTCTTGAATATATTTGATAAGGAAATGGCAAAACATCCTGATTAATGTAGATATCACCTACCTCTTAAATCGGACTTTTCATCAGCAGATCTCAAAGGACTTAGTAAAGAAACAGAATCCCTGCTTCATTAGCAATTTCGGTTGCCTACATTTGCATCCCTACATTTGCACCAGATCTACCATGAAGCAGAAATATTATTCAATCCTTTATTTAAAAGGAAACTTTGTATTTAAAAGCTATCACAAGCAATGTATTGGTGGTACATTCGTATTTGAGCATTAGGAGGTTGCAACAAGTCTCACATATCTTAGATAAGTCTGTTAAAAGAGAGTCAAATAGATTTCTCTAAAGTTCTCACAGCGTACGCTGTCCTTTTGATTCAGAGTATGGAATTCCAATCTGTAATAACTGCTATTCAGAAAGTGTTAATAACATTGCATGAATCAGTGGTAAAGGACTGACAGCCGGCTTGGAGCAATAACTAGGCTGAGAAATTAAACTGATTCAGAGCTGACTGACTAATAGTTTTGGAAATAAGATTCATATTATAGATTTACACTCCGTGCTTTATTTCCATAGTGTTAGTAAAATCAGCTTGTTATGGAGTAAATATGGAATTTTCAGGCTACCCAAAGCTCTGTAAAAATAAATATTCTAAATGAAACAAAATTTCTCTGAGCTTCAAATTGGACAGCTCCTTTCACATTGGTTGGTGGTACCAGCGCAGCCTAATCCTTGTGTAAAGTAACTTGTAGGCCATATTTTCAGATTCAGGTACCTGAGTCAGGAGCCTAATTTCATAATTAGACATGTCATTCATTGCAAAGTTGCTGAGCCCACTTAACTCCTATGGACCCAGATGGTGCTCAGGAATGAATATTCTTGCCAACATTTCCACCCAGGGTTTTTACCACTGGCCATTTTAAATACAAAGAAGAAAGAAAGCCGAGTTTCTCATGTATTTGGGCATAAGACTGGCTCTGTTAACCCAGATACCTTTCTACTTCAGTCAAAAAAAAAATTAAGTATAGGATCTAATGCAATCTAAGATGAGGATTCACTGACACTTAAATGCCCTATTGTAACAGAGTGGCACTCACCTCCTGCAAGCGCCCCCATTCAGCAAAATGTGAGTTCCTGCACGGCCTCAGTCTTTTAAAATCCTTGCAGCTACTCAGCCCTCTAGCCAAGTCACACAGTCTCATATGATACTCAAACCCCTACTGTGGTACACACTTAACAGGGGCCCATCTCGGTGCCCTATGCCAGTATCCCCTTTAGTCTGTCACTTAGGGTACATCTACACTTGCACCCTAGTTTGAACTAGGGATGCAAATGTAGGCAACCGAAATTGCTAATGAAGCAGGGATTTAAATATCCCGCACTTCATTCGCATGATCTCGCCAGCGCGTTACTCCACTCAACAGGTGTTTCGAAAGTGAAAGTGTGCACCGGGACGCATTAGTTCGAACCAAACCCCTTGGTTCGAACTAATGTTACGCCTCAAAAAATGAGTAACGTTAGTTTGAATCAAGGGGTTTGGTTCGAACTAACACATCCCGGCGTGCACTTTCAAAACAGCTGTTGAGTGGAGTAACGCGCTGGCGAGATCATGCTAATGAAGCGTGGGATATTTAAATCCCCGCTTCAATAGCAATTTCGGTCACCTACATTTGCATCCCTAGTTTGAACTAGAGTGCAAGTGTAGACGTACCTATAAGTCTGTTTCCCCATTCGGAGAGAGTGGTGCCTCCAGGGCTTCGCCTCCTAGAGACAGCTTTCCTGAACAGATCCCCACTTTGAGCTGTCCCTGGTTCTGCCAACCAGCCCTCTTGACCTTGTCTCTTCAGGTCCATGTTGCAACTGAGATGCCTCTGCTCCTGCTGCTTCTTTTGGAGTTCTCTCTGGCCCCCGATTGGTCAGTTACTCCAGGGCCTTTCTAGCCTACTGGAGGACTTCTCTATAACCTTAGGGCCTAGCCCCATTACACCCAGATTGTAGGTATGCGTAGACACAGACATGTCTATGTGGCACAGGCCACATGCTTCAGAAAGAATTTTAATTTCTGTGATGTAATGCAGGCATCATGTGAGCATTCTGCTTATAGGACCTGAAACCTGGCTGCACCAGAGGAATTCCCACTCAAGGAGAGAAATTGGTTCATGCCAGAGCAGCAGCATGAAAGAGGCTTAATGCTGCTGAACTGGGGCCTTAGCATTTATATACTTCTTTTTATATAGCAACTAATTACCCCTCCCAGTGCACCCTCTGAGGTAAAATACGTAAGATTCCCATTTAAATAATGGGAAAAGAATGATAGATGTATGAAATGAAGTCATTCACTGAGCCATGGGCAAATCCAGATTACACCCTGAGGGGTACAAAATAGTCAGGGATGTTCCTCTCAGGCAATGGAATACAAGGATTTTCTGATGCTCTTTACTTTGTTCACTGGTCTAGATCGTGGTGTCTCTCTGTAAACCTTGGGACTAAATAGCATGAGCTCTATTTGCCCTACCTATCTCTTTTTTGCTTTCTCTACCAATTCTGATTCTCTCTGCCAACTCACTTCCCAGCTGTTAATGACAAATCATACCGCCTCTAAAGCACTTTGGTTTTTAGCAAGTGTTGACTTTTCAACACAAAAAGTACAGGAGGGACTTTTTGCTGACACATTAAAAATATTTGTGAATGAATCAGTCACAGTCTAGTTTTGTTCTTTTTTATACCAGTGCCACAAACTATGATAACCTGTTACATTATTTAGTAAACATTTTATTCACAATTTTTTTTACAATTGAAAAACATTTTTTTCAAAATAGTGTCCTATTAATATATTTTTACATGTACAGGACATCTTTGTAAAGGACCAATTTAATTTTGAACATGAACTTCTCATAATTTTCCCCTTGTCATTTGAAAGTAACATTTTTATAAAAGACATAATCATTTATCTCTTGCTGACAGAGTGGTTCGTGCTTAACTTTCTACTATCAGCTCTCTGTTTTATCAAACTTCTCATGATCCTTGGTGTTTTTCTTTAAATCTCGGTTCCTGGAATCATGTGTTTATGTGAAAAGCTTAACTTTCATTTTAAAAAAATACAGTTTTGAGCTGTTGTGGTTGGAAAGGAAAAAAGTGTGAAAATATGAAGCCTAACTGCTCAAAAAAGGCAAATACAAAAAACACTCAAAATGGATTATTTCTCAAGTCTCATTTATAGCAACTTTTATAACGGACAGGCCTGCCTCAATTTTTGAATGCTCAATGTTGCCCCAACCTTATGTTTTTCATATACTGATATAAAACTTCTATTCCGTGTTTCTAGCAATGCAGAGAAATATTTATGGTACTGATTCTGTACTGAGAATCACACATGGAATTGTGAGCTGCCTGGAGTCTCTCCCATTGAAATCAAGATATTGGGGATAAGGCTGTTAAATTTAGATTTATCGACTAATTAAATAGTTGATGAAATTTGCATTGACTATTCAAATAGTCAATAAGGGCATCTCTGCCAGCTCTTGCTGCATTTCAAAAGTGGAAGCACACGAGGGAAGCACAGGGCCAGTGGGGGACTGCTTGAGTCCCCCGCTCATCCCTTGCTGCCATGGCACTTCTGCTTTTGAAATATAGCAAGAGCCCCACTCTTGCTACATTTCAAAGGCTGAAACACTGCCAGTTCCCTGCTGAGCCCCTGCTCTCCCCCAGGGAAACTGTGCTGGGGGGAACCAGCTTTTAAGCCGGTTCCCCCTAGCACTGGCTCCTGCTCCCCTCTTTGCTGCCTTTCTCTAATAGAGGAAGCAAGGGGAGGGAAAAGTGACTAGTCGAGTCACTATGCTTATCAAATAGTTGACTAGTCACTTACATCCCTAACTGGGGAGAGATTCCAGTTCAGGAGAAGCCTGGCTGCCCATGGCAGTGCAGGCTGGGAAAATCTGTCTGCATGAGGGAGAACAGAGCGGGACTGGAGAACTCTAGCTGCCCATGGCAGGACAGGACCAGTAATGGCAGCAGCAGAGCATACAGCCCATCTGGGGGGAGGAAAAAGGGGCAGAGGCAGTGCCGGCTTGCTCAAGGCTTGTGGCAGGGAACACATCTCCTGGTCCAACAAATTCTGTCATTCAGGATTGGTCAGGTCCCAATGGTACCAGACCAGGGAGGTCCCACATGTACTAGCTCAAGAAAATTGACAGCAAGCGGAGAGGCTCAACTGATATGCACACATTTTTGATGGCATGGGTGAGTCTTTCAACTCGCCATTGCAGTAATACTGCTCTAGTTTGGGGCAGTAGTGGATCAATATACTGACTCTAAGGAAGTGTTCTTTGGACTGTCAGGAGAGACAAAAAATAGGATCTCAGAGGCATGGTACAGTCAGGGATCCATGCTGCATATTAGAACAACAGTAATCAACAGCTTTCTGTGATATTTAAATTTTAGCTTTCCTCCATGACCTCTCTAACATATCAGATTGAAACTAAGGAGTTTCTGAGGCACTCAAAGTCTAAAGCAAGCACATTGTTTTTTAGAATTCTCTTTCCCAGTTGATCATGAACAGGTGATCTAATTGTACATCCCTTTCTAGAACGGCAACTTGAGCTTTTTATTTTATAGTTTTTTGACTGATGAAAACTGACACCTCTGAGAGCTTACCACTCATATGGGACATACAAATCTGAAAAGACGGCAACATAACCTCTCCCCATCTATTCCTTTCCACATCAAAACAGACACTTCTAAACATGTTTGAAGGAGTTTCTGCATAGTCTAACCCCTTAAAAGCAAAAAGTACCAGACTGCTAAAAAAAACCTGATATATTTCAGCATTCAGCTTCCTCTGGGCTATAAATAACTTACCAAAAATTCAGAATTTTGTTGTTTTTTCCTACTCAGTCCAAGGACATGATGGCCATTCACCATACTGACATCTATGAGAGTCAAGTTAAAGAAAAATAATATGAAGACTCTAAACAGACTTTCCTAGAAATTGAGTAGCACTGGTGCTAATGAAATAGCATGGCAAAATATTCAAGCTCTTCAAAGAACAAACTAAACACCTGGAACCCCGTTATCCCAAGTGCCTGTAAAAATCGACAATTTGATTACTGCACCTAAGAAATGGTAGGAAAAAAACACACATAGTCTGCATGTGGCCACCCAGCAGACCTATGGCCCCAAATTTTGAGGCATAGTTGTCAGTGAAGCTAACATATAAGCAAATGAAGGAGGGAGCCACTAGAGCAGGCTAAAAAGCCAAAGGCTATGCAATGATAGAAAGGAAGCAATTAACAATCTGTTACAGTGCAGAAGCTAATGCCAGAAAGAGTATCTGTAGACAGGCAGACTGTAGTTTCTGTTTGAAATCCATGCATCCCAGGTTTGGGGGATCATTCTACCATGGACCATACTGTACAACTTCAGAAGAAGCTGGTACACAGAGGACAATGGAAGATCTGCTCTTCTGGAACTTCCTTCTAGAAAACTTGCCTCTAAATTGTCCCCATCAAAAATATGTCCCAGTGGAAATATACACTCTTCTGAGTCATGCTTCTCAGTAGAGACATCAGGTGATGAAGGCAAAGATAACATTTGAACATCCTGAATTCTGAGTCCCATCTCTGGCATACCAATGCCCACGTACAATTCTTTTTGTCCAGTGGGCTGTAACTACCTCAGTCCCTTCAAATCAGAGAGCCCAAGGAGTGTGATTCAGGCTTCTTCCTCATAGACACCAAATAGACTGTGGAGAGATGTTACAACCACCACCACAATCATGTACGCTTGTTCATAAATAAACAAAATATGAACCAAAGTTTGAACTACAACTTGATGAACCCGAGGTGGCATTTGTGGCGAGGGACTGGGGCTGCGAATGAGGAAAGCCCGAGACTTAAATGCACTTAACCAATTACAAACTTTATTAACTACAATTTGATTATATTAAATCGCTGTCTCTGATTCGTCTTAGACAGCGCAGCATGCAAAAAAGAATATAACAAATAAAACTAATACAGCAATAATAAAAACTCCTCCTGTAGCCAATCCTTCTATGGTTATCATTGAACAGCTGGTGGAGTTAGTCATTAATCGACATATACTTAAGAACCTCTAAATATGAAATGGTTAATACAATATAGTATGCAATACTCACAAGCCCAGTAACAATTACGATGCAAAACAACACTTAGCATGCTCCAGATTAGTACACCCTTTCGTGATTTGGTGGGTGGGAGGCGGCCTTGGGTGATCAACCCCTTAGCCAGGCTGGATGATACGTGCCTTCTATTTTGATATGGAACCTCCCCTAGCTTAGGGCTCAGGGTGCTTTATACTATAATTTTGACAGCCGGTACCATATTAGGGTTAGTTGATAGCCGGTACCATATTAGGGTTCCTTCCTTGTGACATGACGTCTACCTCAGGGCATTGTGGTCAGTGCCTGATGCAGACATAACTGGCATACGTGAAAGCTAGCTATGTTTTAGCTTCCCTGCTCCAGGTGCTTGTTAACTGATGTATATGACAGCTCATTTTTCTTATTTCTATCTCATCCTCTTTTTTTAGTGCTCGTTAACTTAGTGTATGGGACAGCTTGTGTCCCTGCTCTTATCTTTTTGGCCCAGGTGCTTGCCAAGTTAAGTTCCGTTTACTGAGGCTTGAAGGCCACTGGCCTGGGTGCTTGCCAAGTTAAGTTCCGTTTACTGAGGCTTGAAGGCCACTGGCCTGGGTGCTTGCCAAGTTAAGTTCCGTTTACTGAGGCTTGAAGGCCACTGGCCTGGGTGCTTGCCAAGTTAAGTTCCGTTTACTGAGGCTTGAAGGCCACTGGCCTGGGTGCTTGCCAAGTTAAGTTCCGTTTACTGAGGCTTGAAGGCCACTGGCCTGGGTGCTTGCCAAGTTAAGTTCCGTTTACTGAGGCTTGAAGGCCACTGGCCTGGGTGCTTGCCAAGTTAAGTTCCGTTTACTGAGGCTTGAAGGCCACTGGCCTGGGTGCTTGCCAAGTTAAGTTCCGTTTACTGAGGCTTGAAGGCCACTGGCCTGGGTGCTTGCCAAGTTAAGTTCCGTTTACTGAGGCTTGAAGGCCACTGGCCTGGGTGCTTGCCAAGTTAAGTTCCGTTTACTGAGAACTGTGCTGAGCACCTGAGGGACTTCAAGCTCTGTCTCTGGATCCACCTCAGCGGCCTGTGTTTTTCTTGTGAGGGGCTTTTGTGTGGTAGTATGGGCAATCCGCACTAGGCCATGGTCAAAAGGACCTGCTACACGACACAACTTACATGAATAAAGGGACACCATCATTCTTGTTTGTTCTCATTCTCTGAAGCGGATGTGTGTAGTACATTCTACTCAGAACTTCCCTGTCCGTCAATGGACAATGTGCTCTCATTTGTACTGTGCAACTTCCAAGAAAAATTAGTAAACTTGCTCTCGGAGAGATAAGCATAAAATAAATATAACCATTCTTTTCTACTCCAGGGTGAGCATTTTAAATAGGTAATGGGCATCATTTTTAATAAACTTTATTATGTATTAAGGAGTTAAAAGCCTGGGATCATATGTATTAGTACCACAAATTATTTTTTCTGTACTTGTTTAATGAGAGTGTTACTAGTCAGCTGGCAATGAGAGTGACACCATAAAAGAAAATTCTCAAATCAGTGTGCCAGGGTAGCACTGCCATATCCTAGATTTCACAGCCTAAATTTTCAAGCAAACCTGCCAAAAAAATTTGAGAAAGAGACAAAAGAGATGGAGGTAGGAGATAGAATGTTGTCAGAAAAATCACATGAAAAGCAACAAAGTATACCATGGGACTTCAGCATCACAGAGTTCATGAAATGAAAAAGTTCCATTGATTTTCTCTCAGCTCAATGAGTGGACTCTTTTATCAAATGTTTCTGAAAGTGGGGCCTCCTGCTGGTTTTATCATATTAAACTGGGAGCAAAACAGATTCTACTGTCAGGGTTGTTGAAAAGATGTAATCAGAGCACTGGAGTCCCAGCACAGAAAAAGCATGCAACTAAAAAAAGTTAAACATAATTACTTTAAAATTCAGAGACATCTGGGGTGGATAACATTAAAACAAATGACCTTTATTTCAACTATACATATATTTTTTTTTCAATCATCATAATTTGATAATTGCCTGGAGATTGCTCATTGTAACTGCAAGCTCTTGTGACTTACAAATTCTCTCCTTAGGTCACTCTCCAGACAAGCAGAATCATTTACAATATGAACCATGAACTAGTGCCATATTTTTATTCAGTAGCACTGGAAATGAATGTAAGAGCAAGAGACAGAATGAAAAATGTTCATGCTATTACAAGATATGTAAAGGTGCAGAAGGGAAGAGGAAATCTCTGCAGACAGCAGATAATTGGAGAACTGACAATATTGTCTGAATGGATGACTGTTGCCTGCCATGTTAGTTGAAGACCCTGAATACTTCCAGGTGAAACCAATGTAAGACAGCAAGCAGACTAGCTGATTAAGGATTGACACTGAAAACAAAACCCTAATTTTGTGTCGATTCTCTGTCCCAAAATAAAATAAGCAACTTTGGGTTTCTAGGATTTTGTTTGATTCTGGATATGCTCAGTCTTAATCCATCTGTCATTTTGGTTTCCATGAAGGCAGAAAATTGATGTATATGTTGACAATAAATAGGCTAAGATAATATATAGAAAATATAAGGGTTGTGATGTGGGTGAAACAGTTTACTTAGAGCAGGAAAATATTAGCAGTGTTTTTCCATACAGTGTTTTCCCTTGGAAATCAAAGAAACAAGAAAGAGTGACCTGTCTCCCAACAGAGCTAACATTATGAATGTGTTTTCCTTACAAAAGGGGCATGAACAAAGAATCTTTGTTCACAGCTACAGCCACACTGCAAAGAATGTCAACTTCCTACAGCTGATTCCTAAAAGTGTAGAGATGCAATAATAAAATCACAATAGCTGTTCAGTAGCTGCATTCACCACAAGGGAAAGTAAACTTTCAGTGTGCATATAGTTAAAATACAGACTGACAGAGGGTATGTCTACACTACCCCGCTAGTTCGAACTAGGAGGGTAATGTAGGCATACCGCACTTGCAAATGAAGCCCGGGATTTGAATTTCCCGGGCTTCATTTGCATAAACTGGGCACCGCCATTTTTAAATCCCTGCTCGTTCGGGGCTCAAACTAGGTAGTTCGGACTAGGATTCCTATTCCGACCTACTGGTACACCTCGTGGAACGAGGAACGAGGTGCACCGGTAGTTCGGAATAGGAATCCTAGTCCGAATTACCTAGTTCGAGCCCCGTGTAGCCGCGCTGCACGGGGTTCGAACCAGCGGGGGCGGCTCCCCGCTTATGCAAATGAAGCCCGGGAAATTCAAATCCCGGGCTTCATTTGCAAGTGCGGTATGCCTACATTACCCTCCTAGTTCAAACTAGGAGGGTAGTGTAGACATACCCATAGACACTTACTACCAGATTGTTTACTAGCAAAACTGAATCCATACAGTCACTCTTAGGCGGCAGTGGAGAAACTGCAAAGTGGTCATTCTTAGGTCACCAGACCCCGGGGCACTCCTAGCTTAGTTTAGAGCTACCTCAGGGTTGTCTCAACTCCCCCTGAGTACAACATTCTCCAAGGAGCTGTCTGTCAGCCAAGGACTGCCAGAGAACAGTGAGCTCCAGCCACACTGCCTGTCATCTGTGCCATTTTTTGTATGCTCGGCTCTTGAAGGAACATGGCATAGTCAGCTATAGTTTTATGCTACCTGGTGATTTTCCTTACACCAGAGAAATAACCAGCTGGCTATTTAAGCCTGTTACGCAAACTCTTCGAGCTGCACAGACTGGTAGCAAGATTGAGAGTCTTCTGTGCACTGGGTCAATTCCACCAGTGTGACTATAATCAACTTTTATCATGAGGGGTGTCCTAGTTCCATGCCCAAATTTCACTATCATTGACATTCAAGAAAGTATCAGAGAAGGGTGTTGTTCTGTAACCGGGAACATCTAGACAGACCAACTGCTGTGATACTATAATCAATACTCTCCAGGACTTTAAAAATATTTTCACACGCATGAAAAGAGCCTCTAATCCTGCTTCACATCCACTCTTTTGAATCAACATTACCCATGGCAGCAATTCGCTGTGGAAAACACACACCATTTTTGCATCACCCTGCTCTATCATGTATATTCCAAGAGTAAAGAAACTCAGTTTTCAGTAATTTTAAACAAGTTTTATAGGCATAAGACTTAGCCAGTAGAGTTGCTTTTAACTACATGATATTAATGCCTGCCTTCATAGGCTGTCACTAATTTTGGCCGATTAAATCCACAATGTAGTTTGACTACAATCCAGTCTGAAAAAAAATCTGAAAAAAAGAAAAAGAAAAAAAAGAGAGATGTAAAGATAGAAAGACACATTTAAAAAAAAATCAAAGAGAAAATATTGTAAATACATAGAATTGTTAAGCCAAGGAGTGAGAGAAAGACAATAAGTTTAGAAAAACAGAATTTGGGGGAAAAATTCATCTGAAACAATACAATAGATTAGATTTATAGCAGAGCTGTGTCTTTCATGGCACATTTGAGAAGGAAGAGGCACAAGAAATTCCCCCCCCCCCCCTCCGACCCCCCC